TTTCCCCCGTTTAAAAAAAAAAAAAAAAAAAAAAAAACTTCCACACAGCAGCTTCAGAAGGAATGTGCTTGCTGATAGCAATCTCGTGAGTTTAGAGTAGTGATCCTTGGTCGCTTTGCCACCAAAGTGTTGGTGGCTTACCATGGTAAAATTTCTCACTCTGGAGTCTTATTGGGACCAGGAAGCCTCCATCTGGAGTGACGCTCTACAGAAGGAACACGTGATTGGAAGGCCAGCTTACAAGGGAGGAGAGAAAAGTACACTTCCTCAGCCACAAGTGGCACACACCATGTCTACTTACTCTGGCTACAACTTCTCAGATCACCTAGCTAACTGCGAGGAGGCTGGGAGACGAAGAGGAACAGGTGGGGAGGGTACTAAGAAGTGCTTACCTGGTGACCCTTCATGTATCAGCCCAGGAGCTCCTGTGCATGAGATTTGTATCTCTTCCTGATAAATCTGCTGTGCCCTGTGCTTACAACAGTAGCAAGCAGCCTGCTAGAGCTGGCACTCACAGAATGGTCAAGACATGTGTGCTCACTGTTTGCTTGTGGCAAGAAAAAAAAAAAGCAAGAGTGCCAGTTTACTGTTTTGTTTTATTATTTTATTTTGCCCCTTTTAATTTTTTACCTTAATAGGCTCTATTTTAAGAACAGTTTTAAGCTTATAGAAAATTTGAACAGGTAGCTCAAGACCTTCCACTCCGTACACCTCCCACCCATAGTCCCACTATTATCAACATCTCCCTACAGTCAGTGAACCAGTATTAACCATTGTTTTGTTTTGTTTTATTTTTTTTCTGTTTTGAGATACCACCAGTAAACCATATTATCTTGTCATAGCCTCTTAGGTTTGCCTTGATGTGGAAGTTTCCCAGGATACCTTGCCTGGATGCCCTTGACAGTTTTGAAGGATGGGTTAAGGGTGCATTGTGGGATTGCACCTCTATTGTATTATTTATTTCTTTATCTATTGGCTACTGAGGATTGAACCCAGGACTTCATACCAGCGTATACTAATACTCCAAAGGAAGCTAAGGGAAATGCCTTCTGTGTTGTGCTAGTAGCTCGTTGGGAAAGTCAGAAACAGTCTAGAATAATGTTAAAACTGACATAGAAGCCTGAAGGATGCATTTAAAGACAAAGGGCAAGGCTAAGGAGATGATGCAATAGGTAAAATGCTTATTGGGCCTGATACTGACCCCCAGAATCCACATAAAAAGCTGGTGTGATGTGCACACTTGTAATACCAGTACTGGGGACACAGAGGCAGGCAGATCCCTGAGGTATAGTTCCTTCTTGGCTACTCAAGACCAGTGAGGATCCTGGTGGGCAGTCCCTGAGTAACAGCACTCAAAGTTGTCCCGTGGCTTTCCCAAGCATGCACACATACTTGTACATGTATGTGCACTTCCATATAACTGAATTGCTCATGTTCACGTACACACACACACACACACACACACACACACACACACACACACACGACATTAAAGATCACAGAGAGCCCTTGTAAGCCTTGGCTCTATGAGGATGTGACCCTCCTCACTCTCCTCAGGTGTTCATTTCTTGGGTCCTGGAAGCCTTAGGGATCCTGTAGAATCAGGAGTCCTCGGGGCTCTTCGATCTCTTTGCAGCCTTCAGGTCCCCAGCCAGGTTTCAATGATGTGAGAGCTGCTGGGTGCCTCTGACTTCCTTCTGTCTTTTCAGTTGTCCCCTTTCCCACTCAGTGCTCTTCAGCTGGCTTCCCTGGTGTGGCCAACCCCCAAAGCAGCTCCTCCATGAACACGCATGTGGGGTGGGACCCAGCCACAAAGTTCGGTTGTTTGTTAATTACCTACTGACCCAAGGTGAAGGAACAGCAGACTGTAATTGCTGGTGCCATAATTTATACCCCTAAAAGGTGCACCTTCATTTTTCTATTAACTAGTGCCTGTTACAACTGCATGACCTCATTGCAGTAAACCCAGGATGGCTTCATCTTTTATGTATATTGATTATGTAAGGATTCAGGCCTTATGCTGGCCTGCCCCTGTCACCTGGCACAATGTACTCAGGCAGTACCCTGGTCAACCCAGGGTCCCATGGTTGTGTCCTTTGTGCCTGCATGCCCTTTAAAAGAAAGACCCCGCCCACTTCCGCTCTCTTTCTGCTCTCTTTCCGGCTGTTACCTTGGGGACAGACAGAACTTTTCCTGTCTCCGTCTTCTGTTCTCTCTCTGTCTCTGTGTCTCTTTACCTCTTTTCTCTTTCCTTCCCCCCTTTCCCTTTCTAATAAAACTTCTCGCTTAAGCTCCATCTGCCTGACATGTTTGTCCCTCCACCTCGGTCACCTGCCATGGAATCTGCCAAAGGTTCCTCACACTTTATCGTAACAGATTACCCATAGAGACAATCCAGAATTTCCTCACAGAAGACTCCAAGGAAGTGATAGCCATTGCCCATTAATTATTCTTTCTTAACAATTTTCCATTTGTTCCAACTTGAGTTTGAAACCTGACTTACTAATTTTAAAATCAGAAGCTCCTAACCCACAGGCCTTTCTTCAATATGCTCATCTATCTGCTTGTGATTTTAATGTTAAACTGCAGAGTTGGTACTTGGTAGAAAATATGGCAAATTGGGCTTGTAAATTTGTGTGTATTTCATGAATTTTTGTAAGAGAAACTTCAAGAGAAAAGTGGGTTCACTTACTTGGAAAGCCGTAAGATAGAAAAGCCTGTCGTACATGGTGTTGTAAGTTGTCGGTGAGAGTGAATTGAATTAAGAGAGCATTGACCTGCCGAGTCTGCCATTCAGGTCTTGACATGCACCACCCTCTGTAGATCAGCAGGACTCTGAACCATGAATCCTGGACAGATTTGCCTTAGATTAGAGACACAGAAAACTAGGCATAGGAATTTTCTGAACCTGTGAACGAGTGTAGCTTTCTGCTAAAGTGGTAATTAATTTACCTGAATCAGTGTAGGTGGCATTGTTTGATTGGACACCTCGCCTATCACAGAGGCTTGGGTTGGCTGCCCATTGATTGAGTTTAACTTTCATTTGCCAACCTAGGATCTCATCAGGGTCTTTCAGCCACTTGATTTCAGAACTGACAGGTCCATCAGCCATCACTTTGTCAACCATCATTTTAGGAGAGTAAGGAGGGGCTCTTATTCCCAGGGATAGCCAGTTATGTAGAACTCAGCACTCATTCTCACACTCTGTGCTCTGTGCTGGCACCATGTAAGGGGATATTGTTGGCTTCATGATTAAACATTCTTTTAGTCAGTACCTGTAAGACCCAGAGATTAATTTAGCATTGCTAATCGTTCTGCTCCTGCTATTTGCTACAGTAGACAAAAAAATGTCAGCTTAATTTTCCTTCCACATGAGACAGACAATATGGGAGTTGATAGGCAAGTTTAGAATCACAGTCTGTGTAGTTCAAAGACTATTCTTGTATGTGTACATATGCATATGTATGTGAACTTTCATATGTGTGCAGGTGCATGTGTGTGAGGGTGTGTATATGTATGTAGGCATGACCATGAGGACTAGAAGACAATACAAGTTGTTGTGTTTAACTATGTAAGGATGTGTTACATTTGTTTATGCTGCATTTGTTTAATTATGTAAAGATGTGTTGTTGTTTCACCTTGCCTGCTTTAAAGCACCTGATTTGCCAAATAAAAAGCTTAACCACTAATAGCTCAACAGGAAAGGGATTAGAGGGGCTGGTGGGAAGAGAGAATAAGTAGGATGAGAAAAACAGAGAGAGAATGAGGGAGAAAGAAAAGGAGATGACCAGGGCCAGTCAGCTAGGTAGCTGCCAAACAGGTAGACACAGAGTAGGACATACAGAATGAAAGAAAGGGAAAAAGTCCCAAGGCAAAATGTAGATGAAGCAAAACAGGTTCAAATAAATTATAAGAGCCTAAGAGCAGGTGCAACAAGCATAAGATAAGGCTGAGCATTCATAACTAATAATGTCTCCATGTCATTATTTGGAAGCTGGTGGTGGCCCACAAGAAAGCCTGCTATAGACCATGGCAACTCTTATAAAGGAAAACATTTCATTGAGGCTGGCTTACAGTTTCAGAGGTTTAGTTCATTATCATCATGATGGCAAAAATGGCTGCATGAAGCCAAACATGGTGCTGGAGAAGGAGCTAGAGTTCCCCCTTGCTCCAAAGGCAGCAGAAGGAGACTGTGACACTAGACCTAGCTTGAGGATATGTAAAATCTCAAAGCCCGCCTCCACAGTGACACACTCCCTCAACAAGGCCACACCTCCTAATAGTGCTACTCCCTATGGTCCAAGCATTCACACTTGAGTCTATGGGGGCCATTCCTATTCAAACCACCTCAGATGTCTTTGTTGTTTGCCTTATATTTGATTAATTCTGAACATTGTATATTTAAAGACTGAAACATGTCAGAGATCCATTCAGCCTATTCCACATCTGAAAATACCACACTGCTGTTTTTAACCCTTAGAAGACTTGGTGGATTTTGTTTTCTGCTGTTATAGTTTGTTTGTTTGTTTGCTTGTTTTAATTTGCAAACATATTCTCTCTTAGTCTCTTGCCCCCATCCCAACAGTGAGAAAATTTCGGGGCAGTGCTATGGACTCAGGATCAAAGTCCAACACATATTGTTTGTCAGTACCACACAAGTGCTAGCTACCAAATATCAATCCCCAGGAATTTACACCTTTGTTTTTAACCCAAAGAGGTCACAGGACAAAATCACTCTGTGGGTCTGTCTTAAAATTTCTTTCTTTTAGGAAAGATGCAGAGGTCATGAGGGAGCAGAAAGGTTGAGTCAGGTGTAGATTAGAAGAAAGGATATGTGATAGGTAGGGTTTTAGCTGGGGGAGTCGTAGGAGAGGAAGGGAGGGAGAAGGGAACTGGGATTGTCATGTAATTCAATCTTGTTTGTAATTCAAATAAAAAAATGAAAAAATAAAATAAAAATAAAAACAATGACACCAAAAAAGAGAAATATTCATAAAAAATTCTTTCTTCTGATTTGAAGTACACTCCATGGACTTGCATTTTAGAACTGGGTGAGTTATCAGACCACAATGGTTCAGCGTTTTCCATCAACATCACATATAGCATTAAAAATTTGCCCAGACACATGTGTGACACCTAAGGATGACAGTCTAGAAGCCCTCTGAATGACAAAGCTTTGCATTCTCCAGATGTTAACAACCTGAGAGACATCAAGTACAGACCTTGTTCTCCCCCAGCAGAGCTCTTTGTCTGGGCGGCCCTCACCCTGCCTTTGGCTTTTTTTTTTTTTCCAGCTCAGTCCAGATGGATCAGCTTGTTTTTCTTGCTCAGTTTCAGTAAATGGGGCTTTTTGAGAAAATCAACATCCCAGTCCCTTTCTTTTGCTTCTGAATTCAAACACATTTCCACAAACTGCTCCATGAATAGACCAGGCCCTGTCAATTATGGTGACAGCTGCCTGTCAGGTCACTTTAAATAGTGTGGGGGCATGAGAGTGTTATGGTTATGTGTGGAGATCAGAGGACAACTTGTGGGAGTGGGTTCTCCCCTTTCAACCATGTATGTCCTAGGGATTGAATTTAGGACATCAGTTGGCAGCAAGTGACTTTACCTGCTGAGGCACCTTACATGCACACCCACAACATTTAATGAGACAGTCTTACCATGTGTAGTCCCTGCTGGCCTCAAAGGTCCTCCTGCCTGAGCCTCCTAAATATTGGGACTACAGGCATGCACTACCATGCTCAGCATCTGGCTTTAACCGGGAATGGTGAGGCATCAGGGGGCATGGGCAGATGCCTGTCAAGTTAAAGTGTGCATGCACACACTATTCCTCCTACACTTTTGCAGAGCTGTGTATACATGGTTCTGTGGATAAAGAAAATGCCAAAAGCAGTCCAAAACTGTGTTTCTGCCCTAAATCTTAAACCTGACAACCAAGGAACACTGAGACTGAACATCAAGGGCTGTGAATGTAGGGAGTGTGAATGTTGGGCTGAGGAGATAAGTCTGGTCAATAAAATGTTTCCTGTGCAACCCTGATAGTGTGGATTAATCCCCAGCATCCATTCCTGAGTGTGGCAGCAAGCACCTGCAATCCTGTGTCAGAAAGACAATCAGGAGAAGCCCAGCCTAGCCTCATTGTTTAGTTCCACCATTTGCAGTGTTTACTGCCACCTTGACAACTGGATGGACTCTAGAACTACTTATAGTTGTGCCTGTGTCTTGATGATGTTCACTGAGGTGGGAGGACCTGCTCACTATGGGTGGCACCATTCTCTAGCTAAGATTCTGGGCCATGTAAATAGAGAGAGGGAACTGGGTGCAGCACTTCATTCTCTCCTTGTGTTGATGGGATGTAACCAGGTGCTTCAAGTTCCTGTGGCCTTGGCTTCTCTGCTATGCTTCACTGCATCCATGGTCCAAGGGTGCAGTGAAGCACCCTTAAGTTGTGTTTATCGGAGTATTTTATTACAGCAACATGAAGATAAACTAAGAAAGTCTCTCCCAGGCCAACAGGAGACCCTATCTCAAAAATAATAATGTAAATGGCATCAGAGTAATGATGCCTAAGACTGACTTTCTCTCTCTCTCTCTCTCTCTCTCTCTCTCTCTCTCTCTCCTCTCTCCTCTCTCTCACACATACACACACACTTACACACACACTCTCTCTCTCACACACACCACACAGACCCCCAAACATACATACACACACACACACACACACACACACACACACACACACACACACACACACACACACACAGACGGATGGACAGACGGACGTACGTCTTAGTGTGATTTCTTGTAATGGGCAGAGTGTGATAAGATCTACTCAAGAAGCAGACCTCCATTGCCAGACCTCACCCAGCTTCTGGCAGTCATGATGGAGGAAGACGAGCACATACAAGGTGAAAGCAGAGCTGGAGCTGTGTGGAGGGGAAATGCAGAGCTCTGCAGCTCTGTGCATCTCTCCATGGGCCTCTCTTCTAAGGTTCAGTGCATCTGGTCATGCCAACAAGCACAGATGGAACCATGGATGGTAGACACTCTGCCAGGTCCCCTTGATATCGGTAGCATCTCACAGCTCATGGGGTCAGTGACATGGACAAAGAAGGGTTTGGGTTTTGGGTGAGAAATTCATGCAGTTTGAAGAGATAATCAGAGTATGAGAGGCCCACAGTTTTGTTTTGATTTAATTTTTCCAATTATTATTTAAATTCTTACTCTAAAGGATTAAAAATTCTGTCAAACTCCTCAAATTGATAGTTCCCTAAATATTCCAAATAATAATTGTATTTTGCATTTGAAAGAATTCCCTACTTTCTAAACTGTGTCTATAGACACTCTCCCTCGTGGTGTCTATAGGGCTAGTTTGAGGGGGAGGAGAGGCCATTGTTCATGCATTCATTTCTCCCATTCAGAATTTGAGATGGTTATTAAAAACTGTCTAAAGATAGCCAGCTAACTCCTCGTAGCCAGATGGAGGGGCCAGGTTAACTTGAGCTCCAGATATTGCCACAACATTGTGTGGTGCTGGCAGCATATTGCTCTCACAGGTTCCTGTCCTTGGCCCAGAGCCGTAGAAAGCATCTATGATGCAGAAGTGCTCGTCTTTAGGGTCTCACATGGCTGCTCTGCTGAGAAACCCTCTCAATTACCCTTTTTCATTGTTTTGTTTTTGTTTTTGTTTTTTACAATTTTGTCTTTTTATTGAAGTCCTTGGGATTGAACCGAGGGCCGTGCACCTGTTAGGAGTACCACGCCAGTCTCATAAGTATCCATTATCAGTCATTTTAGTGTCTAGTTCTAACGTGAAAAAATATAAACTTGGGTTTCCTTTTTCTTTTTGCCTTCCCTCCAAGAGTGATCCTGAGGTCCCTAGTGCATTCCTGTCAGTCTTAAAGATATTTTAGATCAGAGACCAGAGATCTGCGTATAATTGCAGGTAACACCCACGTCTCTCACATTTCTTCCTGTGTTGGGAATCAGCTTTCGATATCTTGAATTTCCAGTGACAAAGAATTCAGAAAATGGGCTTTCTTGAGATCTCAATTAAAAGATAACTTGGGAATCTTAGACAGCACCCAAAGAACCAATGACACCAGAAGCTCACTCCTTGGTGTGGAGATAGGAAGCATGTGCAGTAGATGTGTAACTGAAGATAGTTTGTCTCTAAAGCCTTTTCCCCCACAAGACAACGATAAAGGGAATTCATCCTAGCATTGTCTAACTTCATCCTGATGGTCACCCTGTTATGCCCTGCAGGATAATTACATATATTCCAAGGCTAGGATGGTTTAATTTAGAGTTTCCAAGTGAGGTAACGTGTGTTTCTTAGCAACTGGCAGAAATGTAGACTTGGTTGGAAGCTGCAAGGATGAGCTCATCTCTGTGTTTCAAGTCAGCTGCACTGGGGAGGGTGGCTGCTGTCCTCCAGTGATAGTCTACTTTCATATCTCATTCATAATTCAACAAGGCTCTTTTTTTTTCTCATTATATGAGATGCTTCCATAATATCTCCAAGGGCACACCATAGCTCACCCAGTGTTGCAGCTTAACCCAGAAAGCTCACATCACGACAAGATCTATGTCACCCTGTAAATTACATATTCTGGAAGGGAGAAAAAAAGAGCTAAATTCCAAGTTGATCTTTGCAGTGTGTGTGGCTACATCAACTAAACCAGTCTCAGTTTCTGGAATGACCTCGTTCGAATAATCTAGAACACAGTACTTGCTCTTGGGTGTCTCTATATTCATAGTCTTGTGTGTCTCTTCTCTGGGGGGTTGAAGTCAGAACTCTGGGAATGGCAAGCAGTCTCCTGCTGGTGTCAAATTGTTTCTTAATATGCCTTTGGCATGAAAGCTGACATCCGTTGCTGCCCCCTCTGCTTCTGTGCAGGTGGCTCCAGGAAGGAGGTTACTGAGCACTGGGAATGGCTTGAACAGAATCTATTGCAGACACTCTCCATCTTCGAGAATGAGAATGACATCACCACATTTGTAAGAGGAAAAATACAGGTAGTAGCCTTTTTATTTTGTTTTGGCTGAATGTTATTAAAATACATAGTATGCATGTATAAAATTCTCAAAGGATAAAAAACATTTTAAATATACCAAAGCCTTTTAATTGAAAAAATCTAAAATTTACAGAAATATTGCAAAAATAAGAAGTGTATATAACCCAAGTGTGCCCTTCACTCGGACTTAGCTGTCAGAACATTCCACTCCACTTACTTAGGATTCTTAAAGCTAACACTCCTTCAAGTGTGTGGTTTCTAATAGTGATATTTGATGAAAAATAAACATTATTTATTAATGTATATAATTGTATCATTATTTAATATTTAGCATATATTCTAAGTTTTTAAAAATTTAGAGTTATTTATGTATATAAGTGTTCTGTGTACATGTGTGTATGTGCACCATGTATGTGCCTGGTACCCTCCAAGGTCAGAAAAGGACATCAGGGCTCCTGGAACTGCATTTACGGATATCTGGGAGCTCCTGTGCAGATGCTAAGAACCAAATCCAGTCCTCCTACGAGATTTTTCAATGCTCTTACCCTGAGCCATCTCCCCGGTCCCACATAGTCTAACCTAAATGGGGTTGATTGTACCCTTAATGGTTGTGTTTTTCATTCTATGAGGAAATTGAATTTAGTTTGCACCTCTTTAGTCTGGAACATTTCCACAGCCATTCCTTATATCGTACGACATTTATGTTGTTATATTGTGCCCGTCTGGTTTTTATAAAAGGATGTTTCATTTGAGGTTCTGTCATATGTCTCTTTGTGATTGAATTCAAGTTTTGCCTTCCTGGAATGGAGTGCTACACAAACTATCTGTGTACTCCTCGGGCTATTGTGTCCTGAGGCACATGAAATTTATCTGCCACCCAATGGTGTCATGAGTCCATTCAAAGTTCATCCATTTTTCCATGGTAGAATTCATGCTTTTATCTTTGTAAATAATGGTATCTGTAGGAAAACATTTTAAACCACCAATACCCCATTTTTTTGTCCAAGTTTCCTTGTTGGTGTAGTATCCATTAATGATGTTTAAAAATCTGAATAGTTCTTCAGTGTGAAAGTTTGCAAACAATGGTTTTATTAAATATGAAGTTGACATACTACAGACTTTATTTCAATATTATCATTTTGAAAATTCCACGTCTTTTTTCATTTCACAATCCAACCACTTATCCCCTTGTTCTTTTTACATCTCTATGTTTGGTGTGTGTGTCAGTCACTACCTGTGCCATCCAAATTTTGCAACTATAAATTCTGCTACATTTAGAATTTCACGCATCCATGCTTGCATATGACTGAGGCTGTGTCTTTAGGGTGAACTTGCAGATGTGGAATTGCCAGATTGAAGTCTAAATGCGTATGCTGTTTTGCTAACTATTCTCAGTCTCCCTTCCCCCCCCCCCCCCCCCCCCCCCCCCCCCCCCCCACTGGCATTTGTGCAAACACCTTCTTCCCCACAGCTTCTCCAATAGCATAGATTCTTCCGCTTTCCAATTTCTGCCAGGGAGACTTCACTTGTGTTTGGCTTGTATTTGTGTGAGAACTTGGGCAGCATTTCCTGTGTCTAAGATACACATTCTGTGTCTATACACTGCTGTGTGTAGCTTTTGTTTATCTTTTATAGGATTAGGGAGGTCTTGTTTTTCTTGAATGTTTTGTGTATGTGTGTGAAGACCAGGGGGCAATCTGTGGTGCCATTCCTTAAGTGCTGTCTGCCTCTTCTTGTGTTTATTAAAGACAGACTTGCAAGGACACTAAGGTGTCTGGCCTGAGCCCTAGGGATTCACCTGTCTGTCTCCACAGTGCTGGGATGCTCCACCATGCCCAGTTTTGGTTTAGTTGGTTCTAAGGACTGAATTTAGACCTCTTTGTCTAGAAAGATCATTTGCCTTTTGTTGGTGATTCACATGTGTTGTAGCTATTTCTCCTGTTTGTCATTTGTCATCAGACTTTGCTCATGACAATTTTTGCCACACAAAGTTGTAAAGTGACTTTGTATGAGGGGGTGCTCAAAATGATCAATTCTTTCTGTTTTAGCAACTGGGTTTTTAGACATGGTTACAAAACCTTCTTACATCCAAAACATGGGGAATTGTAGTGAATGGTCTGGTGGAATGCTGCTGTAAAATCCCATGTTCTCTTTCCTCTTTCTATGTGACTAAATTTTTCCTCAAGTACATAATAATCGAAACAGTAAAGTTGATAACAAATGGAAGTCCATTGCTCTTTAGGATGTGATGTGGTTGAAGTAGAGAGCTGAATTTGAAGCTGGCCATATACAACTCAAACTAAACTGTAGAAAATGCTCATCCAGTGACCCCAGTCTGATTCTCATGCCCAGCTTTCCCTCCGAATGAATGCACATTCTCTGTTTAGGATGCCCTATTAGAGACTAAGAAAGGGAGAGAGGGAGTGACACACTGGGGAGGGCCAGATACAGACAACTTTCCAGAGTGTGTGTGTGTGTGTGTGTGTGTGTATGTGTGTGTGTGTGTGTGTTAAGTAATTGAAGGTTGTGTAGTAAAACTCAGACTCTATGTATGATGCAAGCATGAGAATATGGAGATCAGGAGGGCTTCTAGTTGTTTCTTGTATGAGGGGCTGGAAAAAAGAGGGCAGCCAGCTGCAGTGGAAATGCACACTGACATGTGACTACATAGGTATCCTGGGGCCACCTCGCAGTCCTGCCTCTTGATACTGCCAGAGGAAAAATCACAGCTTCCGAGGGGAGAACAAATTATGTCAAATAGTTTTTCTTCTCACTGCATTAAATGCATCAGGTTTATTTCCCCTGAAACCATTTATGAGGAGAGAATTCCCATTAATGCAATAATGTGTGAAAGAATGTCATTCATGTGCAAATGAATGGCTTGCTGGTTCACAGATTGTCCAATAATTAAGCAAACTAGCAGGCTTATTTGCTATGAGATCTAACTAACTTTTATAAATTATAAATTAATATCTAGACAGGCAACAGGATTCAAGTGCTATGCATAGCATTTTGTATGCTTATTTCTTGATGTTTCAACATGTTGATCATAATGGTCATATTGTGTGTCCTTGTGTTGCCTTGACTAGTAATTACTATAATTATATAATTATAATTGTAGGGTTTTTTAATTTTTTGTTCTGTGTTTTGAGACAGGGTTTCTCTGTGTATGCTTGACTGTCCTGTAACTCACTCTGTAGACCAGGCTGGCTTCAGACTCTCAGAGTCTACTTCTGCCTCCCAAGTGCTTTAACCAAGAGGTTAAAGGTGTGTGCCACCATCACCAGGCTAATTATAGTTGTTTTAATAAGAATATAACTCTCAATAATTGACTTTACTTTCTTGTCTTTCTAGAAGTTACCTTTGCTTCTAAATTAGCAGGGGATAGGCAGATACAAATGAAAACAGAGTTACCACATAACTTTTGCCACAAGTTATATTTTGCCAATCTCCTTTAGGATGGAGATTAATAGATGAAGTGATTAAAACATTTTAATGAACCAAATTATTTTAATGGACCTTAAGCATAGCTTGTTATACCATAATCCCCTATACTTGCTTTCACACTTGCAAATTTTAAAGGCTTGTTTTATTATTTTAACTAGGTGTATGTGCTTGTGTCAGTGTGGGATATATGCACAATAGTGCAGGCATCTGCAGAGCTGGAGTTACAGGAAGTTGGGAACCGAACTTGGGTCCTCTAGAAGAGCAAGCAGCACTTGCTCTTAGTCATTTCTCCACCCTATTGTTAAAATGGCTTTCAAGCTTAATGTCTTCATGCTTTAATTTTCTGTCCTCAGTTATAAATCTAACATTTCCTTGTGTTTACCAAGTTTTGGGTTTTTTGTTTGTTTGTTTGGTTTTTGTTTTTTGCTTTGTTTTGTTTTTTAATGTATATTTACTTTGTTTTGCTTTTGGGGGGGACAGGGTCTCACTGTGTAGTCCTAGCATGCCTGGAACATATCATGTAGACTAGGCTGGTCTTGAACTCACCAAGATCTCTCTGCCTGTACCTCCCAAGTGCTGAGATTAAAGTATACACCACAATGTCCAGCCTCTGGTTTACTAAGTTAATTTTACTCTTTTAGTTCACCTTTACATATTTAAATTTACATTAGGCACCCAGTGTGTTAGATATATTGAATTTCTGACATTATGAAGTGCTGTTGCCTAGAACTAGAGTGATTTGTTTTAGAATAAGTAGAACCATAGAACTTAGAGGAAAGAAACACTCCATCCCTGTGTTCAGTCCACCTTCTGGCTGAACATTCACAGAAAAGACAAGGAAAGCTTGGGCATTCCAGACTCTGTCTTTTCTTAAAGGTGAGAAAGTTGGAAGAGGGAACTTTTGACTGGTCTATTGACAACTGTACATTATGCCCCAGAGTGTCTCCAACTATCCTTTCTTAGTTTCATACTTTCATAAATACATTCATACTTACAAACATTTTGAAGTTTAAATGGACATTCTAGAAGTTGGTATTTAGCATGGTGTTTTTGTACCAAAATATACAGGATTTACACGTGATCTACTGTGTAATACAGGGCCTTACATGTAGTCTGCTGTGTAATACATAACCTTACTTGTGGTCCACTGTGTAATATCACTAGTTTTAATGTTCTTCATCCATATTCTGACTTCCATAAGAGATCTGCTACAGTGGTCCAGACGAACAGATATAAGCCCAACTAAGGTTTCCAGGCTGATTCTAGACCTCTGCCGTTGCCTAGGAAACACTGATGCTGCTTCCTATTACTGGGTTCTCCTCATAATTGTATTACTTTCTCATTCATTTCTTCTGTGTCCCCCCCCCTCTCTCTCTCTCTCTCTCTCTCTTTCTCTCTCTTCTCTCTCTCTCCTCTCTCTCTCTCCTCTCTCCTCCTCCTTTCTTTCCTTCTTTCCTTCTTTCTTTCTTTTTTGTTGTTGGAAACAGTGTCAGTGGCCCAGGTTGACCCAGAAGTTACTATGTAGCTCAGGCTGGCCTCATCAAGACCCTTCTGAACTCTTCCCACCCAGTGATCCAGTGCCCTTACACCACCTCTGACTGTCTGACATTCCTCATGTATCTCTACTGAAGCCTGCTCATGCCTAGAATAATCTAGGTTCAACTCTTTAGCCTCTATGGACCTCAACATTTGTTTCCTCTGAGGGATTGTAGCAGAACTAATTAGAGGAAAACAATCTTATCTTAGATATTCTCCCAGGAAAGATTGTTGCTGTTTCTGATGCCAGCCATACTGCTACCCTGGGTGATGATGGACCAAGTCCACACTGAAAACTTAGTTTCCTAAACATAGTTCACTATGAAACAATGTAAATTCCACAATTGAGGTCATACAACAAAAAGCAAAATATGACTCCTTACGAAATATTCTCATTTGAGGACACAACATATTCTCTCCTAAAAATATTGCAGTAGATACCTTTTAGATGTACTGTAAATGTTCAAGTCACTATTGTTAGTGTTGGAACTCATTCAATGGTTGAGGAAAATATAAACAGAATCCAACATAAGTTGAAAGAGTATAGAATTGAGAATGTTTAAATGGAGTTATGTGTTGCTTAGTCTCACAGGGAGAAGAGGGTGACTATGGGTTGAGGGAATGGCCATGAAGCAATTGTACAGTGTGGATGCCGCATAGGCTTTGGTAGCAATGTTGTTGGCAAGTCTCTGTTTCAGAACATGGCTGTACAAAACCTGAGTGGCATGAGAATTGTGACAGGAAGCCGCTGCGATAATTCTGGCTTGTGCTGAGAGTCTAGGGGTGCCTCTGAAGGTAGACTAGATTGAAGATGAACTATGGGGTTATGTTCACAGAGGGAGTCTACTGTTGGCTCTTAGTTACATGTCCAAGATTTTTAGTCATGTGAATGGAGACGAGGACTTTTGGAAGACTGAAGCCATCTGTTCTGCTACCATTCCTCATTTCCACCACTGAAGGCCACAAGGAATAAGGTGTGGCAATGGACATAAAATTCAAGAAACAATTTCAATATATGATGCAGAGAACCGCCAGTGCTTTGTGTGAGGGAAGGAATCATAACTAGATGGTTCACAGGGAGGGGGAATCAACTAAACCAGGGTTTGAGGGTGGTTGATGTGACTAAAACAGTTTGCAGAATGACAGGACCAGAAATGAGAAGGTGAGACACTTATAGATGGCACTGTAGGCCCAGAGGGCTGGGTAGGGCAGAATTCTCCCAGGAAACTATTCAGATACTGGACAATGAAGAAAAAGTTACAGTGTTCATTGGATTCAAAATGAACATGACCTAGTATTTTTGGTGTAACAAAAGTGGTGAACTACCTATGTTATTAATGGTAAGAATAATGTAGTCAAAATTGTTTTTTAAATTGGTCTTATTTTTTGCATATGGGTGTTTTGTATATGCAAGTATGCCCTGTGCATCACATATGTGCCTGTGCCTGTGGAGGCCAGAAGGGGGAGCTGGATCCTCTGGAACTTGAGTTATGGACAGTTGTGAACCACCATGGGAGTGCTGGGAATTGAACCACAGTCCCCTGTAATACAAGTGTTCTTAACTGCTGAGCCATTGCTCCAGTTTCCAAAATCAGCTCTCTCTCTCTCTCTCTCTCTCTCTCTCTCTCTCTCTCTCT